TAAAGACACCAACAACAACATTTGTGTTAACTTTCAATTCATGCTAATATAAAAAATAGTGGCAAAAAATGCATTTTTAGTCCTGTTGGTTTAACATCATAGCAATTTTAGCCCCAAGATTCCAACTTTTCGCCTTTGGGTTCCGTGATTTAAAATTTTGCACAAAATTTTAAATTACGGAACTTAAATTGCTAATCGAAAATTTGAGAATTTGGGAGTTTGTTTTGCAGCAAAATATTAAATCACATGACCAAAAAGCGAAATGTTGGAACCTTGAGACTAAAATTGCTATGGCGTTTAACCAGAAGGTCTAAAAATACAATTTCTTCAAAGATATAATTAGTCATAGTTACTTACCCACATGACTAAGCTTTCTTGACCCTTGTCTGTCTGTAAACCAATAGGTTTCTTGCCGGAGAGCAATTCTAGTAGAACCACACCAAAAGCATAAACATCAATTTTGTCGCTAACTTTACCGTACATGAAATACTCGGGAGCGAGATAGCCAAATGTTCCAACTACGTTAGTATCCATCACAAAAGAAGCTTTTGTAGGTGCCCATATAGCCAATCCAAAGTCACATAACTGTCAGAAGGAAATTAGACCAAAAGTTATCAACTATGTTCTATAATTTGAAAACAAATATTGATAGCGGAATTTACAAAATATACCTTTAGGTTCTAATCACAAAAAGAACCCCTGTTATCTTTCCAAATATGTATACTTGGATAGTTGTTTATAACGCATTAAGAGGGTACATATAGGCTAGGTTTGGTAAAACTAGCTGATAAGCTAGCTTACAGCTTATAAGTGATTTTCGAGCTTATAACTAATAGCTTATGACTTATAGCAGAAAATCTAACTTATATGATAAAAAGTGTTTGGTAAAATTTGTTGATAAGCTAGCTGAAATAAAAATTTCAACGAGCTTATTATTTGAAAAACTACCCAAATAAGCTTATGAGATAAGCTCGAGCTTTTTAAAAAAATTCATCCTACCAAACGAAGCTTATTTAAATACAAGAAGTTTATAAGCTGATCAAATAAGCTATAAGCTAGCTTTATGATGTAGTAATTACCTGTGGTTCAAGTTCATCAGTTAGGAGAATATTCGAAGACTTGACGTCTCTATGAATAACCGGCCTTGGGCATTCATTATGTAAATAGTTAAGTGCTTCAGCAATCTCAACAGCTATTTTAAATCTTGCATCCCAAGAGAGTAATTTTTTTTCCTTACACGTACCTGTTTCAAGAAATCAACTCCAATCATAAGGTGATATGATAATATTCAGCCAATAAATGTGAGAAAAAGATTTATAAATTCTAATTAATGCAGAATACCATGTAGATTCTCTTCCAAACATCCTTTCGGCATGAAATCGTACACAGAGATTAGATCATTATCTTGTACGCAAATTCCAATCAAAGGTGCAATTTTGTTGTGCTTCAGTGTAGTCATTATGTCAATCTCTAGGATGAAATTTTTCCATGCTTCTTTTGACGATGATTCGGAAATTTTAACCGCAACTGGTTTGCCTTCAGGAAGAATACCTTTGTACACAGAATTACAGCCTCCTTTCCCAATAAGATTTTCTGTAAAAAATTAACAGTTAATTGCAATTTAATGTGGATTTGCAATAATAGTCCATCAAATTTCAGAATTTCCAGAACAGAACACTCAAATTTACAAACAAGAATAATATTTTCAGCTGTATGGTCGGATCAAAACACAGGAAAATGCCAGAAAGATTAGCATATCCACATTCTTGGAAAAATCAGATTGAAATCAACTTTTAGTGATTGAAAGAACATTATATAACAAATTACCAAGCTTTATTGCAGATTTTCAGAATTTTTCCAGAAAAGAACACTAAAATTTACAAACAAGAATAATATTTTCAGCTGTATGGTCGGATCAACACTAAGGAAAATGCCAGAAAGAAAAACAAGATCGAAATCAACTTTTAGTGATTGAAAAAACATTTTATAACAATTTACAAAGCTTTATTGCAAATTCTGTTTTTTTTTTCCGAACTAATTTTACCGAACCCTGAAGTAACAGAACTAAAAGAAGTGCAGTTTATACAGGTAAAAACCGGACAAACGAACTACTATATATAGATGGTTGAAATAATAACCTGATGAAAATTCTGAGGTTGAAATTTTCAGTACATCATAGCTAAACACTTTGCATCCTGCAGAATTTTTCAAGAGTACAGTTTCCAAATCTTTATGCAGCCCAGCTTCAGAAATATCCGAAAAAGATCTATGTGGCAATGTCATAACCCACTTCACTAGCGACATTTTTCTTGCTTCGAGTGCTTCTTGAGTTAATGAACTGGCTGTCTGAAGAAGAGGCCAGCCGGGCCTGTGCTTCATGAAATCCTCTGCTGGAAGTGAAATCGAACTTAAAGAACCTCTCTTTTGTATTTGGATATTAGGAATCAGAACATCCTCGATTATTATGTTATTCGAGTTTCCATCGAAACTGAATCTGCTCATTTCTGATTCAGATTCTCCAAACTCGGAATGATTGTTCTTGGGTGTGAGGTTTACGTTTAGATAAAAGCTCGGTTTTGGATCTGAACAATGACCTGGTATTTAAAAGTAAGAGATTAAGGGGAAACAAACAAACTCAGTTCTCTGTGTGTTAAGAGCAAATAAATTACATTAACAGCAAATATAATAAGAAAACCAAACCTTCTGATTTGATATTCAAACACCGGCTAAGGACAATCTTCCCGTTTTTTATCGCCATAACTTCAGTAGTTTGGGGCAGTCTCTTTGCACAATACTTTGCAATCGAAGTCCATCTAAACTCACAATGCATAATCAACTACAGAAATGGAAAACAAATAAAATAAAAAAACAAAAATCCCATGTTCTAGCTCTTACCTTAAGCTACCATGCTTAGCTATACCCAAAATAACAGCCGAAGCAGAATGGTTCTTTGCCTCTCTCACCAACGTTTTTCTGATCGAATTTCCTTTCAAAACTGAAACACTAAGAGCAACCTGAACACAGCCCAAATCCCCAAACCAAAAGAGAAACCAAAAAATGCAAAANNACAAAATACTGATATTCATACTAGTGATAAAACAAATGAAAAACAGCTAACCTGTTTTTCGCTGCATAGACCTTCATAGTCTTTCAAGAAATCATCCGACATTATTTTCTCGTTCGAAACAGAATCTGCAACCGAGTACTACCTCAAAACACGAAAGAGAACCAAAAGCAAAACACACACACAAGCATTCACCATCGAGCTAAAACATGAAGTGTTTTTTAAAAAAAAAACGGATTACCCGAATTTCGACAAACATGAATAGCCACAACACTATCTCCAGAATCAGCAACCTTGACAATCGCCCAATCAAGCAACTCTTTAGCATGATCGTCTAATCTCATTCCCACAATCACTTTTTTCACTCCCAAGCTCGACCTCTCGACCGTCATGTTACCCGCCAAGATTTTCCACTAAAGATGAGACCTTTTGCGTGTTACTTATGTTCAAAAACGTTAATGCCCAGAAACACTGAATACTTGTGTTCCCCTTTGCACACAACACACTCCAAGCCGTCGGCGCACAAAACAGGTTCGCTTTTGAAGAAAAGGGATTTTTAAATTAACGAACTGGAGCCCGCCATAGATTTTTTAATTAACCCAATTTTAGAGAAACCCAAACAGAAAATCCAACCCACCAGCTAAAAAGCATCCTCCACTGAAAAATCCAGCTCCACAAAAACAAATTTATGCGTAATAAAAGAACCCATCAGCAAGAAAACCAAAATCGCTTCAAGATTAAACACGGGGAGATTTGCGGAAAAAAATGAGAAGGTTCCGACAACAGAAGCCCACCTAAAGATTTTGAATATATCATCACATTCAAAGCCATCGAGCATTTAAAATCAAGTAAATGCCGCCAATCGATGGTCGTAAGCAAAGAAAAAATAAAACCTACTTTGAAGTTTCAACTAAAAAAAATGATTTAAAAATCCTGAAAATGTGGGGTGGGCTGGTGAGGCAGTGAATAGAATAGTAAACACGTCAATCAAATTGCTGAAAATGGATGGATTTTGTTTGAATTGTTTATACTGTTTAGTGTTGTTCACTGTGGCGCAGAAAAGGAGAGGGATATGAGTAATGAGACAGAAAATGAATTTAAAAAGGGATAAAATATTGTTTCCAAATTGTATTAATTATTATACATGTTTTTTTTTTTATAATTTAACGATTTTTTTATAACATGCAATGTGCAACTTATTAATAATTGATTTATTTATTTATGGATTGATGCTAAAATATCATATCCATTTGATCAATCAAATTTGTTAATTAACTTGTCTGATAACGAGCTTATTCAAAAGCAAAACGTGAAAAAACTCGAAAAAAAACATCGTTTTGAGAAAATAGATTGTTGACACCTGAATTGGACCCTAAAGGACCCAAGGATAAAATAGTATCAAATGAGAGAATTCAACGATGCGAAGCAAGAACTGGAAGAGACTTCAGTGTAGTATCCCAGATGAACAGACTCTTCTTCAGCTTCTTTCTCACAGTGAGCTCCAATCTTCATTGTCAGGAGTGTTTCATGATATTATGTAGTTGTACAGTTCTTTTGACATGTGTAATTTTATTGCTGCTTTCTAGTTATTTTTGTGAACCCTTTGTGGTTGTCTAGGGCTTATTGCTGTGTATGCCCGTTTACTTGCTAGTCTAGCTTGCTGGAATAGTTAGTGTGCTTCAGTTGATGTACGAATGACATTCTATTGAGACAATATAATTATTTTCGTTGAAAAAAAAAAACGATGCGAAGGCCGACGGCCTCAAAATCAGGTCGACATCTGGGTGACTGGAAGTCAGGCTCCAAAGAACAAAGTTATTAGGAATAGCCCACATAATATATTCTTAGGTCGGCACCATGGCACTAGGAGAACGAGGTCGACCTTCACAAAGGCGTAACCCAAAAAGAAGATCTCAAAGATAAGAAGATGGTGGTAGCTAAAGTTGCGGAGAAAGTCCGGTCTGAAGAATCAATAAGGTCGGGTCCTGGCGCACACAAGGCCTGGAAACAATAAAATATTATCACTTGTCAAGTGATGATTGCCGATGGGACGCCCCACCCTAGTTTGCAACCCTACTAAACATATGACTGTAGGACGTCCTGTCAGCATTAAATGTTCCCCCACGTGTGCATTAAATGCCGACAGACAATCATTAGTTTAACCTCAAATCTGATTTAATGTTTGTCAGAGCGGTACCGAATATGTCATTCCTATTTACTGTACGAAGTAACGGGATGAACAGTAGATGGGTAGTGTCCAACTTATGATAGTATAAATAGGCAATCCCCTTATTTATTGACGGTGTTTAAAAAAAATGATCAACTTTCTCCCTCTACATTTAATCTCTCCATTCTATAATAAAATCCTGTAATTAATCGAGTGTGAGTGTTAGGCCGGCCTGATATTTAAGCCAACATCACCGAAAAAACAATAAAACTTATTTCCTTGCAAATGTTTTCCTTTTATCGTGTTTATCAACCACAAGTATTAATTTAATGGTTGATCGATTTCTGATCAGTCAACAAAGATTTCAAAATAAAACAATATAATATAACAACTATAAATTTTTGTTATTTATTAAAGTTTTATGTAAAATGGCTAATTGAATTCCCCTACTCAAACTAACTAATACAAGATAATACTACAAGATATCGTAAATCACAAATCTTTATGAAGTTTTGGTTTATGCTTTTAGAGAAATATTACAAAATTAAAAATATACGTGTAATACAAACCTCAACAAATATTTTACTCTTTATAAAATATATGAAAATTAATTTGGAAGAAAAAACCCATGATATCAGGTCACAGGATAACAACCGACAGAAGATGAGGAGAACTGTCAACCGGCTATTACGGTTGACGGTTGCTGCGACGTTACACTAACGGCGTTTTGTTAATTGTGGCGGGGATGTGGAGTCAACGTTTGGCGTTTCGCGCACGTTGGGCCGGGCCAAATGGGACCACGTGTGTTGTTATTAAAATTGGACGGTGTAATAAATAGGTTATTAGGTTATAGGGGTTTTTTTCTTTTTCTTTTTCTTTTTTACTTTTTAATTTCTGCTTAACAATTTGTTGTATTGCATTCGAAAATTATATTCCTACTAGAGAAATAATATGCAATAGAGAATTCAAAATTAAGATAGTAACGAATCACCATCCACTAAAGTCAATTGTGATTGAGAATATAAAGATAGAAGGGAATCCATTTTTAATAAATTGAGAAATGTGTACGATATATTATATGTTTCTATACTTATTACATGTTAGTTTATCTAATTGTTATACAACTTTTTTTTGTTTTGTTTTTACAAATGCATAAGAAATGTCATATATTTTGTGTTAAATAATGATATTTAATAGTTTATCTAATTGTTATACAACTATTATTTTATAACAAATGCACAAGAAATATAATACCAAAGTGTATTTCATGTTAAATAACGATATTTAAATATAAAAATATGTATAATTATTGGAAGAGTAAGATTAGCTCACCATTAGACATGCTAACAAAAATCTTACTTTTATATGTACTTTATGTTAAATTATGAAATTTGAGTACGAAAATATGATATTTACTTTTAGACATGACTAACGTAGTAGTAATGTTAAATGTTACAGTGTTTTTATACTATTTTGATGGATTGTATTATCTTGAGTTGACTGATTAGATCAACTTAGGACCAGGGTAAGCAGTTTAAATGTCATTAAACTAACTGAAAGCGAGTCAAATTAATCCACCGCAGCCAAATAGAAGAAGACTGATAATATATCGTTATCACTGCTTTATTTGGTAACACATCTTTTTCCATCACAAATCATTTACGTGTAACCACCAAGACAAGATCATAAAGGCTTTTGCATTTCCTAGATATTTTTTTGAACACATATATGATATAACCACAAATAAAATTAAAAAATAATAATATTTAATAATTAATTAAACCAATCGCCTGATTAGATTAGTCCAGGTTAGTAAGGACACAAATTCTTGTGGTACAATAATACACCAAACAATTGTCAACCAACCTAACAATTATATGGACATGTTTTCAACCTAAAATATCATATATTAAAATATAGTAAATACGAGTATGATATTTCATAGTACGAGCATGTATTTTTGTCCCAAACAAAAAAAACAAAAAAAAAATGACGGGTCGACCCGCTGCCTGACTCATTTTAGAATTTGAGTACACCAGCCCAAAATCTTATAATCACTTATAAGACAACACATTTTGAAGGAGTTTCTTGACCAATCACAATATCCTGCAAGCCTTTTGGCCCTTTCTATTAACCATTTTCTTCTTGTGTTTGGTTTGTTGAAGAACAGCCTTGATAGCTGCATCAAAGACAGCCTTCACATTCTGCAAAACATTTGCAAGAAGACGAGAAGGATTCGAAGTGTCTTACAATTAAGGTTAACATATTAAAGTTGTGTTTGGTAAGCGTATAAACTAACTCATAGCTTATTTGATTAGCTTATAAGCTTCATGTATTCAAATAAGCTTGGTTTGGTATAACGAGCTTTTATAAAAAACTCGAACTTATCTCATGCGCTTCATTGGGCAGCTTTTCAAATAAGCCGATTGGAATTTTTATTTCAGCTAGCTTATCAGCTAATTTTATCAAACTCGTTTGTCATATAGCTAGCTTTTCAGTCATAAGTCATAAGGTATAAGCTATAAACTCGAAATTCACTTAAAAGTTCAGAAAAATTACACTTTGCCTACCTAATTATCCGGAAATTTACACTTTGCCTACAAAACTTTATTTTTTTTACACTTAGCCTACCAAACTTTACATTTTTGTACACTTTGCCATTTCCAGTCACCGCCGGCCTCGTAATCCAACACGTGGCTTTTGTGCCTTATTGCCACGTGTGGCCGGCAGTGACCGGAAATGGCAAAGTGTACAAAAAAGAAAAGTTAGGTAGGCGAAGTGTAAAAAGAAAAGTTTTGTAGGCACGGATAGTTAGGTAGGCAAAGTGTAATTATTCCTAAAAGTTATAAGTTAGTTTTACCAAACGTAGCCTAAGAGTAACTATCAGTAAAATCGTAACCTGTTGCGTTTTCGCGCTACACTCGATGTAAGAATTGGCCCCACTTATCCTTCTTAGCTCCTCACCCTTAAAAGAAAAACCCGTACGTGGCCCGTAAGAATTCCATGTTGATTGGAAATTGATGTTTAAGAAGTATTGAACACTAATTAGTAATTGCTCAATGTATGTAAAAACAATTTTTAACCTGCACAGTTGAGATGGGCTCTGCCTCGGAGTGGTCTGCAAATAAATGTTCGTCGTCACGAAGATCTACAAGGAAATAAAATGAATTAACAACAAATTAAACCAGAAAGCACATCATGAGGATAAAGAAAAGGGTAAATGACTAGTCGGTTTATTCTATCTTTTTATAAGGTTGTCTATTGAGATAACAAAATCAGCACAACAGCAGACCTAAATGTACTCAGATGGTTTAAGAAATTAAATCAGGCACAAAAGAACACTGTTTAGGCTAACGAGTAGCCACAACTAAACAATCTCCATTGGAGAAAAAGAATAGAGATATGAATTACAGAGTGAAACTGCATGGGGTAATTACTAATTACTAATTAGAGGGCAACAAGGAATATGCAATATGAATGTCTCGGGACAGAAAAAGGTCAGTAATATAGAAAAAGAATTAAGGAGATAGATGAAAAGAAATCCTGACCGAGCTTAGTTCCCACAAGAATTATTGGGACTCCAGGACCATAATGCCTCAGCTCAGGGATCCACTGATCATCAAATGTGAATATGCCAAAAATAAAAAGAGCAAAAAAATTAGCAAATAAAAATTTGAAATTTTAAGAGAAACAGGTCACATTGGAAACAAACCATTCAATCAACCTTCATTTTTCCCTTAATGTTCTCTTGAATGTACTTCAAAGAAAAGGGAAACAATGAATGGCTAGAAATAAGAAAAGTTAAGGTCAGCATAGAAAAAGCCAGCAAGGCAGCCTCACCTTCTTGGGGATGTTCTCATAACTAGCCTTGCTGATGAGTGAGAAAGCAAGTATAAATACATCAGCCCCACGATAGCTTAATGGTCTTAATCTATTATAATCGTCCTGGCCTGCTCAAACCATGAGCCTATTAAGTGATTCATTCTCAAATTAAACAAAACCAGATCCCAACTCAAAAGTGACTAATTCACCTGCAGTGTCCCATAATCCCAGATTAACCGTGCTTCCATCCACAACGACATTGGCGCTAAAATTGTCGAATACAGTTGGGACATAATCCTATTGATTTTCATATTCAAAATAGTCGGTTAAAATCACAACTCACAATAACTAACTCAAATTCTAACAATGCTGAGAAACACATAAAACGGAAGTAACATTGAAGGCACAAAACAGTAAACGTTTTTAACTTGTCAAGCCGAAGCAATATAGATAGAAAGAACTTAACACTAGCATTTTGTTGTTACTACAATGAATATAAAACAACAGCATGATCAAAGATTCCGGGTGACTTATCCATCTCTTTTGAACGCAGTAAATAACTAAGGAGAGTCCTTAAGTATACCATCATCTGTTCCAAGCTATGAAAATTTAACCTATCCCAAATTTTTAAAAGTTTTGACTCTTATTACCCACAGAAACTTGAACCAACTGTACTATTTTCTTGATATTTGCATAATGCATCCACCCAAGAAAACTCACCAATCTTTAGAATCACACAACACACAAGCATAACACCCACATTTACAGAACAAGCTGTAGAAGTAAAATATTGAAGTGAGTATGAGCCGATCAAATTTGATTCTGCTTAAATTCGACATGCCAAATTTAGACAAGCAGCTCAGAATCACAACAACAACGTTGAACCATTCAATCAGAACCCTCAATAATTCTACCTCCTCAACTTGTATCAGAAACAAAAGCAGCTCATCACTAAAATTAACAGGCAAAAGGCAAAAACAGAACACGAATTCAAATTAGAAACAAAAGAAAAANTTAGATTTATGAAAGAAAAAAAAAAAAAAAAAAAAAAAGAAGAAGAAGAAGAAAAAGGAAAACCACACCGTAGGAAAGGTGTTGCTGGTGTAGGAAATGAGCAAGCAGGTTTTACCCACGGCGCCGTCGCCGACGGTGACGCACTTTATGAACCTGGACGAGCTCATCTCTTCACCGGCGACACCTCTACGGCCGGTTAACTCAAATCTGGCCGGTATAAATACAGAACTTCAATTGTGATGGGAAAACTTAAAATCAACGGAAACAAATGCGTAGTTTCAACTTTTAAACCCTAATTTGGTACAAATGGCGTGTGAGTGATTAATCATGATCACCGAACCCAACCACTGGCTTTTATCGTCAGTGAACATTCACACGATAAGGAGATAATATGCACAGAGAAAGTGTACAGTACAAGCAGTTTATGAGTTGGCATTTTCGAGCTCAAGCTCTTAACGCGCCTTAAGCGTTAACTATTCAGTAGTAATCGAGCTCCAGATCAAAATGGTTTATCAATATTAATATTAATGAGTCCAAATTGAGTATTATTGAGTTCAGCTTGTAAAGAACTATTGGGTAATCAAACTCGAGATTAAGTTCGTTTATCAGAGTTCAACTCAAGTATTAACGAGTTTAGCTTGTTACAAGTCTTAGTCGAAGATTTATAGTAATCTAGTTCGAGATTGAGTTCGTTTATCAATATTAACGAGTCTAATTTGAGTTCAATTCAAGTATTAACGAATTCAACTAGTTACAAAACTTAGTCTATTCATCGAAGAATTATTCAGTAACCATGCTGGAGATCAAACTTGTTTATCAATATAAATGAGTGTCACTACTTAGTCTACTCATCGAAGAATTATAGTAATCTAGCTCGAGATTGAATTCGTTTATCAATATTAACGAGTCTAATTTGAGTCCAATTCAAGTATTAACGAGTTCAACTAGTTACAAGACTTAGTCTATTCATCGAAGAACTATTCAGTAATCATGCTGGATATCAAACTTATTTATCAATATAAACGAGTGTCACTACTTAGTCTATTCATCGAAAAACTATTCAGTAATCATATTGGAGATCAAACTTGTTTATCAATATAAGTGAGTGTCATTCGAGTATTAAGGAGCTCAATTCCTTACAAACCTTAGTCGAAGTCATGGCATATCATTTTATGTGTCATGCTAGTCATAAGAATAATAATGAGAAAATACAAAAATTGATCCAAATAATACGGTTTTTGCGACTTTGTCATATTTTGAATTTTGCGGAATTGACAATTTGCATATGAAATTTCAAACAGTATAATTTCCAAGAAAAAAAAAATATATAACTCAATTAGATGAATTTCCTATCGAATTGTAAAATTATAGAAACTTTTTCCCTTCCCCGCCAAACCCTATTAACTCTTTTTTTAACAAAAATAAATATATGCATTACAGTTAAAAAAAAAAAAAAAAAAAAAAATACAAATTAGGTATGTCTGGTGAAATGAACATACAAGAGATTGAGTCTTTATAAGATATACCCAATAAATGATTGTTCATCATGATTGTTCAGTGCATGAGAGAATTTTCTTAAGTCATTTGAGGCCAGTAAAAGGATGAAAATTGAAATGTATAGGCATATAAATGAAAAAATATATCCCAAAGAACAATATATCCAAAATTCACATTTGTCATTTTCCCTCCTAAAAGCTAAAACATGCATTACATCAACTTGTTCAATGTGTCCCCAAGTTTGGGCAGAAGACGATGATTTCCAAAAAAGAATGTCTCGTATTTAAACTCATTCTATCAAGAAAAAGAAGCGGCTGAATTTTTCAGTAGGCCTTGAAAACTTCTAATCTTTCTCGGTTTGAGTCTCTTATACGCCATGAAAGTTACTGCTGCCGAAAGAGAGTACCTAAGAAATACCATCTTCACGTGTTAGAAAAAAAGCTCTGCCTGAGCAAAGTACGAACANTGGAAAATAAATTCAATACAACAAGGCAAACTATAAGTTCGAACACAAAGAAACAAACTACTCTAAAACTTGCAGTGCTAGAATATCTGAATCAGAAAAAAAAAAAAAAAAAATAATAATAATAATAATAATAATAATAATTTTACATTACAAGATTCTAAATGGATATATCATATAATGGACTTCTCCAAAAGACCATTTAATAAATGGACATTTTGCAAAATGGACTTCTCCAAAAGTCTCTACAATTTACTTCTAAGAATAGACTTTTTGGAGACTCAACTTATCCATAAGTCCATTTTGGCTATGTTTGGTAAAGCTAACTAATAAGCTAGTTTATAGCTGAAAAGTGATTTTCGAGCTTATAGCTTATGATTTAGGCTATGTTTGGTAAACGTAGGTGATAAGTGAATTTCGAGTTTATAACTGATAGCTTATGATTTAAACCTGAAAAGCTAGCTAGCTTATATTATGATAAAATTGTTTGGTAAATTAGTTTATGGTTGTGTTTGGTAGACAAATAAACTAGCTTATAGCTTATTTGGTTGGCTTATAAGTTTCCTGCATTTAAATAAGCTTCGTTTGGTATGGACGAGCATTTCTAAAAAGCTCGAACTTATTTCATAAGCTTCTTTGGGTAGCTTTTCAAATAAGCTCATAGAAATTTTTATTTCAACTAGCTTATCAGCTAATTTTACAAAACACTTTTATCATATAAGCTAACTTTTCAGCTACAAGTCATAAGCTATAAGCTCGAAAAATTACTGATAAGCTATAAGCTAACTTTTCACAAGTCATAAGCTATAAGCTCGAAAAATTATTGATAAGCTAGCTTATCAGTTAGTTTTACCAAACATAGCATATGAGATAAACTTGAGCTTTTTAAAAATGTTCGTCCTACCAAATGAAGCTTATTTGAATTCAGGAAGCTTATAAGCTAACCAAATAAGCTATAAGCTAACTTATTTAGTCACCAAACATAGCCTTATAATTTATCACCGAATGGACTTTGGCATCCAAAAGTCCATTTGAGTAGTGGTTTTGCCAAACAAGCTCATAAATTAGTTTAAAGATGTAAAGAAACACAAAGTGTTTTTGTTACCTTGGGAGATTCAGGCTTATTAGACCAAAACCGCGACCAGAAAGATCTAGGACCCTCGGGAGTCGAGGGCAGTGGGCTGCTCGGAGGGAGAATATCTTGTGAAGGCCCTAATGCTTTGTCTCGCCAACTACGAGGGACCCATCCTCTGTTAACTAGTATAGGTGATTGCATGCTGCAAAATATCTGTTTTACTTAAATTACATGAATATTATTGTATGTCATTCGGAAAGTTGAAATTTTAACTTCACATACATTTAGAATGGATGTAAAAGTGAGTGTAAATTGTAAGAGGATGTAACGTAGCCACAAAAGCCAAATTATCAAATGCCTTTTGGGTTTTGAATATACAGAACACAGAGAAAATGTAAAGTTGACAAATATAAAATTTTTAAATGTCTACAACATGAATGGCTCGCTACTTAATCAAAACTAGATGAAACAAGCTAAGCATACAAAAAAATTGAGTCAGCATAAATATTTTGAGATAAGGAACAGAAGATATAGCATACATTGATAAT